AAAACGTACGTTAAGGCTTCCTGCCAAGAAAACGCTATAGAACAGGTGCTGTCTGCCAGGGTGTGGAGGCAGAAGGGAAAACAGACAGACCATGCTGCAGAAATGACCCCACGCACAGACCTGCACCTCACACTGTGGCCACCACCTGCCTAGCAGAAGCCAGCCTGGACTGCCAGCCGAGCTGTGAGGCCTGCCCATGACCTCCTGCTCTCCTATTTTCTTTCTCCCATACCTTGTTCCTTTGTTTCCATCCTTCCTCCCCACCTCCTTTCCTTCTCCTCCATTATAGTAAACTTCATTGTGTGAATTTTGAGCTGAATTCCCTAAACACAATAAATTAAAAAAATAGAGTTTCTTACTAATTTAGTTGAATTTTCTCTTTTATGGTAAATTAAATAATAACTGGTCTCATTTATTGACATTTCTACTAGCTGTTAAGGTTAATTCATCACTGCTAAGACACTGTGGATTAATGGATGATGTTTTTGGACTCTTGTTTATAATAAAAAATAGGAAATTAGACTTCACTTCTCTCAAACACACACTTCTCTTGTGCTCTTGTTAAAAGCTCATTTTATAAGATTTTGAAGATGGTTAGAATGCTTTCGTGGTCTCAGGGTCTAATCTGTAAGTGATTTCATCTCAACTAGCTGTAGCTGAGGACTGGAAATGAATGGCCACTGGGGAATTTGAATAGCACAGACAGTGTGGACTGCACATGGTCCTTGGCAAAGAGCGACTTTTCTATTCTTTAAGTCACTCCTGGGGACCTTGTGCTATGAAGGCGGCAGTCAGCTCCTCCCAACTCTGTCACTCTGGCTTCTTCCATATTTCCATTTTTCATTGGCCTTTTAATAAAAAGTTGGCCATTTCAGCTTTTATGTTCGAAAAATAACAAGCTAAATAAATCAAGCATCATTTCTCGTAGACTTGCTTTCTGGACGGCAAAAAAAGTAGCAGCACCCTTCAGACAGCAAATGGACTCTGCACATCCTGATGTTCCTCCTTGAAGCTTCTGAATCACGTGACTGTTCTGTGTGTCTAAGATGATGCAAGTTTAAATGCTATTTTTTCTAAGTGTTGAGCAACTCTTGCAATATTTCTTTTTTATTTTTAAATCCTTATCCAATATAATTGATCATATTATTTTCCTGCTCTAACTCCTCCAAGATCCTCCTCACGCCACTTCCCACCCAACTTCATGGTTTTCTTTCTCTCTCTCTCTCTCTCAAAAAAAGCAGCTTTTAAAAAATTAAAAATTAATATAAAATAAAACAAACAGTAAAAGAGAGGAAAGAAAATCAATTAAGATACAAAACAAACAAAATAAAATAAAAAATACATACCAATACAGGAAGTTCATTTTGTTTTGGTGAACTACTGCTTGGATGGGGACTTCCCCTACAGTGCGAGTTATCTACTCTATTGGGGGAAAAAATGAATTTCCCGGTTTTCAGCAGGTTTCAATTCCAAATAGTGTTTAGAAGTTACATTTATCTGGGGAAAATGTTCTAAATGAAATTAAAAATCAGCTGGTCTTACAGAAACTATTAGCTTGTGACTTTTTCTCTAATAAATTGAAATAATAAAAGCTGATATTTTATTCTGTGAATTCCAGATGAATACTCACAGGGCTTCCAGAGTAGTTATAGACACACATGTGTGTGCGCGCACACACACACACTCATACCTCCATATATTAATGCTCATAAACATAATACAAAGTCATACACACATCATATATAACATGAAGCACACACACACACACACACACACACACACACATATATATATACACATACATACAAAATGGGAACAAGCACTTATCCCCCTGTCCACAAAAACAATATCAACTTGTACTGGTAAAATATGTTTAAATAGACACCCACACACGTATACACATACATATATATAAACACAAATATATACTACACACCTATACAAGAACACAAATTCTTACATCCCACCAATACAGATCACACAAACACCAGACACTAAAACACACACAAACTCAAACATAAACATTCATAAAAACACATAAACATACAAATACTTAAAAATGCTCTAACGCTGCCAAATATACCATGGCACTAAACCACAAAATAGTTTATATTAAATAAATAAACCCATAAAACATACTTTATAAAAAGCTCTGCAAAGAAAAATGTAAAATGGTAAAAAAAGATCTGCTTTTAGTCTAAGTAAACCAAAATTGTCTAGTTAGAGTGCCTAATAATATGCACTCTTAAAATAGTATTATTTGTGAATTAAAGTTACATGTTATTAAAATATATTTTCAAATTTTTGAAATTGTAATTATAACATTTCCTCTTCTCTTTATCCCTCTAGGTCTTCCTATTTATCCCTCCTTGCTTTGCTATATTCATGATATCTATTTTTAATTGTAGTTACATACACACACATATATATATGATGTATGCATATATTAAGAAATACATAAAGACACCATGTTCAGTCTGTATAATGTCACTTTTATGCATGTTTTCACAGCTATTCTTTTGATATTGAATAACCAGTTGGTGTGCTCATCCCTGGGGGAGATAATTTCTCCTACTCTCGGTCTTTCTTTGTCGCCTGTAGTTCTCTGCATAGGGGTGAGGCTCTGTGGGCTTTCCCCTGCCAATATTAGCATGTTTATTGCTGCTCTCCCTGTTCAGCTCAAGTTCAGACAGTTATGCTGATGACTCTATGGATATAGCTTTGGACACACCCATGAAAGCCTCACCAACTACCTTATGCTGGTAAAGTCATGGGGCACTGTTTTACTACATCAGCACCATCCTTAGCTGCACTCTGCATGGTTACATGCATGGTACTTACAGAGAAGTGGATTCCTCACCCTATCACCACATGAAGATTTATATTTGCCATAGATAGAGACCTTTAATGAAAGCCACAGCAATGAAGACACAGAGCTGAGGAGCCCAATTTCAATGGACTTAATGTACATTCAATGGACTTTACAAACTCCTGCACCTAAGGCTCAAAGAACACTGAAGGAAAGGGCAGAGAAAAACTGTCAGGGTTAGGGACACATTTGAGAAAATCCTTACTACATGACATAAAACAAACTCTGCTTAGGGTATTCATTATCTTACAGTATCCAATTAATGAGTTGTCATTTCATATTTCTCAAGTGGATAAATCCTTCGTAATATATTTTATAAATATATTATATATATATATATATTGAGTTGAACAAATAAAACTAGATATGCTCATATTTTCCTTTTGCAAAATTATTTTCGTCATTTATTCCAAATCATTTCCAGTTTCTTTAAAGACATTTACCTGGCACATAATAAACTAGAAATTTTGCACATTGCATTTCATACTGATTTCCTTCAGTGGGAACCTTCATTGCAAACTAAAAACTAAAGGACAGATATGGAAAGGAATGTCAGCCTTTGACAACTGACCAAGAAATCAGAATATTTGTTATAGATGGTAAAACATTGAGCAAGCCTTCCTTGGGTTAACCTATTTTCTAGATTTTTTACCTGCAATTTAAGTGTTAGACGCTAGTCATATTGATACCTGCTCTGGGAAAAATACTGCATTAGATGTTGGGAAAGCATTGTGCATTAAACCATGTTCCTGCACACCAAGACACTGCATTCTAAAAACTGCATTTTTAAAAATTTGGATGTGAAGTAAGAATGGTAGCTTTTCCTTCCTATTATGTTCAGTGAGCTGTGACGACTTCACTAGCCTGCCTTGACATCTTGGGTTTCTCATTCTTGTTTGATCCATTGTATCTGAGTTCCTAAATGTGACTTGTTAGGGTGTGTCCTGCCCCCTATATTATGTAAATGTAATACATTTACATAAGTTAATTCACATGATTGCTTACCACAGAATATGGCTCAGAGCAATATAGATACTAGGTTTCCTTGTCATGATTGTTTCGGGCTTCATGACCACCTCTAAAGTCAAGCCGTAACATCTTCCAGCTTCTCTTCTCTGTTATTGCATAGGCAACTGTCCCGACAACAGCCGGGGTGCCCCTGACTTCTCATGCTGTGCCCACACTAACAAACTGGTTGACTCATGATAGTCTCTTCCACTTCAATGCTTTTTTGGCTGGTCTGCTGGGGACTATAAAGCATTGAGAAACAGCTTTGCCTTCTTCACCATCAGACCGTCAAGGTAAGGTACGTAGAGCACTTAACAGGGTGCCATGATTATGGGTAAATGAGTAAATAAATTGCTAAAAGTTTTACTTATCTAAGAGAAACAAAAATATTGCTAATTGTTCCATTCCGTGATCTTTTGCACCAACAGTAGTAAACTTAATGATCTCAAAAGACTGTCGCACAGTCTATAAGTAATTATACTGATTAACATCTCTTTAAGTATAATTATATCAAGATTTATTTTCCTTTAATTTTAATATCCATAAGAACTGCTAGCAATTACTAATTAGTTATCTTTATTCCAAATCCATATTGACTCAAAATCTAAGTACCAATGTAATACATTTACATAAGTTAATTCACATGGTTGCTTACCACAGAATATGGCTCAGAGCAAACTCTTGATAATGTTGGTATGGTTTGATAATGCTTGTAAGGGTGGAATGGTTTATAATTGCAGCAATAATTGTCTACCAATGATGCGTCATCCAAGTTATAGAAATGACAAATATTCAAACTGATAAAGTGAGCACTTTCGAAACACAGGAGAAGCATAGTCGCATACCTTCTCCACAAGTTACTTTTCTAGCTGCATTTACTAGATTAACCATAACAACTTGAGCTGGCAAAGAATGTAGAATACAATTATATAAGTCTATAGCATCATCAACTATATGAGATGATTCTGCCAAATGAGAAAATATGGAAGTAAGCATTTGTCATCGGAACACTTGTTGACAAAGACAGCATTTACAGAAGAGGGGCAGTGTATTGCTTTCATTTTCTCAAGCTATTCAAATGGCTTTACAAATATTTACAAAAGGTCACCAAAAGAGGGCTTACCTGGAGTCTCTAGGAGGAGGCCCTAAGCCATCAAAAGCAATTTCTGATGTCCAGCCAGATATCTAAAACAGAGTAACAAAGAGAATTTGTGGCAACACAGACACATAGTATTCTTGGAGAAGTAAAATCGATTGTGACATTTTTCATTTATTTGTAAATGACTCTTTGGCAGAACACTCACTCAAAAGGACAGTTGCTTCTTCCTGCATGAGGTGGGGGTGATGGTAAAATAGAGGGATCCTGACAGCTGCTTTAATGAGCTCTGCACTGGGGCTACTGGAACACTTTTGCCCAAGAAAAAGCTTGTCCTTCTTTTTCAATATAAGTCAGTACAAAATGTTATTTGTATGAAAAACCAAGCCATCTAGTTATTAGCAGCAGTTACTCAGTTTATTTTCTTACATCTCAACTAAAAGAAAATATTCTAAATGAGCACCTATTGATTATCAACCACACAGACTGATCACCTCTCCTCATTAAAGGACCACCACAGCCAGACGTGCAACAAAACAACAAAGCACAAGTTCTCTACTAACTTAAATATTTGTGTGTAGATAAAGGGGAAATGATTTAAACTCCAATATTTGCCATTTTTATTTTGACATTTTGAGCTTCTATGGAAAAAGAAATTATTGGTATGGTAATATTTCATTAGCCTTTGTCATTAGATCAACTCTAAATAAAATCAGTCTAAAGAGTCCCCTTCTGTTTTTTGATTGCTTATTCTTAGATCACATGCTAAGTACCAGGTAGAGCTGCAAAGCAAATCCTGAAGCTCACTTCTCAAAGTAATATATACTTCAGTGGTGTAGGAGGTTTTTCTGTATTTGTGTTGCTTTCATTGTTCATTAAAGAAACTGCCTTGGCCTAGTTGATAGAGCAGAACTCAGGTAGGTGGGGAAGAAAGAACAGAGTTCTGGGAGAAAGAAAGCAGAGATAGGCAGATGCCACAGTTCTGCCTGAGAGACAGACGCTGGTTAGACTCATGCCGGTAAGCCACAGTCAAGTGGCGATACACATTAATGGAGATGGGTTAACTAGTATGTGAGAGTTAGCCAATAAGGGGCTAAAGATAATGGGCCAGGCTGTATTTGAATGAATACAGTTTCTGGGTGATTATTTCGGGTGTAAGCTAGCTGGGTGTCAGGGATGCAGCCGGCTCCTCCTACTACACTTCCGTGTTTAGGAAAGGTGATACCTTCCTTGCCCAAACCCAACCCAGTGGCTATTTACCAATAATTATATGTTGAACTGGAAAATTCATATATATGGCAAGGTAAACTATGACATTGTGCTGAAACATTCACAGTCCTAGAAAAAAAAGTTAAATAATTGAGAGTTTAAAGAAATAATAGACTCTACGGGTAGCAATTCTCTTATTTATAAAACAGGGTACGTATCTTCTATTGAAGAAGAGTAAGCACCATGGACTCTATACATTGTCAGTAAGGGAAAGAATAATATTTATAAAGCTTCATTCTGATAAACCAATAGATGTTATAAAGTAGATGGACCTAACAGATATTTACAGAACATTCCACCCAAACACAAAAGAATACACCCTTATCTCTGCACATTACAAAACTTCCTCCAAAACTGACCACATACTTGGATAAAAAACAAATCTCCACCGATAAAGGAAGCTGACATAATTCTCTACTTTATCTCAGACTACCATGAATTAAAGCTAAATATCAACAATAACAGAAAGCTCAAACCCTCACGGAAACAAAACAAATCTCCACTGTACGAAAAATGGGTGAAGATAGAAATTAAGAAAGAAATTAAACACTTTCTAGAATTGAATGAAAATGAATAAAAATCATACCCAACTTATAGAACATAATAAAACCTGTTCTAAGAGGCAGGTTAATAGCACAAAATACCTAAATTAAAAAAAAAAAACTGGAAAGATCCCATACTAGCAAGTTAATAGTGTATCTGAAGACTTGAACAAAATAAAGAAACCACAAGAAAATGGAATAGATGTCAAGAAATAACCAAACTCAGGGAAAAAAATACAGTGAATTCATGAAATGAGTTTCACTGACGAAATCCAGAGAATCATAAGAATAAACTTTAAAAAATTGTACTCCACAAAATTGGAAAATATCAAAGAAATTGATAATTCTCTTGATGGGCATCATTTACCAAAGTTAAATCAAGACCAGAGAAGCAGTTTAAATAGACTTATACCACTAGTGAAAGAGAAACTTTCATTAAGATTTTCAAATAAAAACTGCCTCAGGCCCAGATGGATTTACTAAAGAATTCTAGCAGACTTTCAAAGGAGAAGTCAACACCAGTACTTCTCAAATTATCACTAAATAGAAACAGAAAGAACATTGCTAAATTTCTTTTTAAGACTCCACTGTTAAGCTGATAGCCAAATCAACACTCAACAAAGAAAGGAAATTACCCAATTTTTCTCATCAACAAAATGCAAAAATTGTCAATAAAAATACTACCAAACTAAATCCAAGATACTTCAAAAAGATTATTCACCATGATCAAGGAGGCTTCATCCTAGACATGCAGGGATATTTAATAAATAAAAAAAAATGCAATTCACCAATATAAGCAAACTAAAAGAAAAAACCTACATGATCATTTCATTAGATATTGGAAAGCCTTTCACAGAATCATATACTCCTTTATGATAAAAGTCCTGTAGAGATTAGGGATACAAGGGACATACCTCAATATAATAAACCCAGTTTACACCCAGCCCAAGCCAGCATCAACTTAAATGAAGAGGAACTCAAAGGAATTCCATTAAAATCAGAAGCAGGACAAAGTTGTCCACTCTTTCCATACCTATTCAATAGAATATTCTATTGAATAGAATACTCTTAAAGTTCTAGCTACAGCAATAAAACAACTGAAGCAGATCAAGGGGATACAAATTGGAAAGAAATAACTCAAATTATCTTTATTTGTGGATGATATGATAGTATATGTAAGTGATCTTTAAAATTCCACCAAGAAACTCCTACAACTGATAATGCATTCAGCAAAGTAGCTGGACACAAAATTAAGTCACAAGATGAGTAATCTTCTATACACAAATGACAAATGTAATGAGAAAGAGATCAGAGAAAGAAATCCTTCACAATAGCCTCCAATAACATAAAATACATTAGGTAAACTCTAACCAAGCAAGTGAAAGACTTGTATGACAAATGTTTAAAAAAATTGAAGAATTTATCAGAAGATAGAAATGCCTTCTATAATCATGGAGGAGTAGGAGTAGCATAATAAAAATGGCCATACTATCAAAAGCAATCTACAAATTCAGTGGAATCCCCATCAAAATTCTAGCACAACTTTTCAGAAATTTTGAAAAGAAAATTCTCATGGAAACTTCTTATGGAAACTCAAAAACACTAAGATAGCTAGAATAATCCTGAACAATAAAAGAACAGCTAGAGGTACAACTACCCCTGATTTCAAGTTGTACTGCCAAGCTATAATAAGAAAACAGCATGGTATTTGCATGAAAGTAGACACATTGATCAGTGAAATCAAACTGAAGACCCAGACATAAATGCACCCAACCATGGACACCTGCTTTTTGATAAAACCAGAAAGACACACTGAAAAAAGACAGCATCTTCAACAAATGTTGCTGGTCAAACTAGATGTCTGCATGTTGAAGAAGGCAAATAGAGCCATACTTATTACCTTGCACAAAACCCAACTCCAAATGGATTGAAGATGTCAACACAAAACAAGATTCATTGAACCATATAGAAGAAAAATTGAGGTGGGATATGTCCTTCAACTGATTGGCACAGGAAAAGACTTTTTGAACAGAACATCATTAGTGCAGGCACTAATTACAACAATTAATAAATGGGATCTCATAAAACTGAGAAGCTTGTGCATAGCAAAGGACAATGTCATTAGGACAAAGCAGCAGTCTAGGTAATGGGAAAAGATTTCTACCAAGTCCACATCTAATAGAGGATAATTTTCAGAATATATAAAGAATTCAAGAGACAAAATATCAAAAAAACTCAAGTAATAAAATTAAAAATGGGTATAGATCTAAACAGAGAATTCTCTGACAGTAATCTCAAATGACTGAGAAATACATAAAGAAACGTTCTTGGCCATTAGAGAAATGCAATTAAAACTACTTTGAGATTCTACCTTCCACCTATCTGAATGGCTAAAATCAGTAACACAAGTGATGGAGAAGACACGGAGCAAAGGGAACATTCCTCCATTGCTGGTGGGACTGGAAATTTGAACCATCACTGTGGAAAACAGTGTGGTGTTTCCTGAGAAAGATAGGAATCCATTTAATTTAAGATCCAGCTATACCACACCTGGCCATATGCCCAAAAGTCTCTTCACCCTACCACAAGGACACTCACTTGCTCAACCATGTTCAATGTTCCTCTATTCACAATGGTCAGAAACTGGAATCAACATGTAGTATATTTACACAATGAAATATTATTCAACTATTTAAAAATGACATCATGAAATTTGTATGTAAGCAGATGGAGCTAGAAAAAAATTATCCTGAGTGAGATAACCCAAACCAAGAGCGATAAATACGGTATGTATTTGCTTATATGTGTATATTAGCCATTAAGTAAATAACAACCAAGCTATAATCTGTACACACAGAGAGGTTATGTGTAGACAAAGGGACTGGGGGAGGGGTAAACACATGGATATCTTTGTGAGGGGCAAACAAAGTATATTTTATGAGTGGACTGTAAGAATAGGGGACTAGACAAGAAGGATCAAATGGGGAGAGACAGGGAATACAGGGAGAGACAGCTATAATTGAGAGGCATTTGACAAATGGTTTGAAAACCTAGTGTAGAAGAAACATCCTAAAATACATAGAGTTAATCCTAATAAAGTCTGCAAATAATAGAGGAGACAGAGTCCCAACTGGCCATCTCTTGTCATCAAATTGAGCTTCTACTATTGGGACTGGATTACATTCAATTGAGTTATTGGCCAAATGAGTCCCAAGGAAACCCCAAACCATCCAGGCTATTGCCAAGTTCCTAGGTTGCTCTCAACAAATGGAAAGCAA